AATTTTATTTATCATTTCAAAGAACCAGCTCTTGATTTCATTTATTTTTTTTCTATTGTTTTGTAGTCCTTATGTCATTTATTTCTAATCTTATCTTTATTATATGCTCTAACTCACCTTAGACTTTGTTCTTCTTTTTCTGGTTCCTTTAGGAGGAACGTTAGATTGTTTATCTGAGTGTGTATTTATTTATTTTCTTAGTTACTGAGGTAGGCCTGTGTTGCTATATATTTCCCTCTTAGAATTGCTTTCACTGCATCTCAGAGATTTTAGATGGTTGTGTTTTCATTTCCATGTGTCTCCATAACTCATTTAGTGTTAAGTCATGTATCAAAATTGGGTATCAGATAATAGTGATAGAAAGACTTAATTTCTGATGGCTGTGCAGTAGTAACCCATGGGAAATGAACTGATTTTGTCTCGGGCGAACCCTCATAAACATTCTGGTTATTGGTTCCATTGATAGAGTTAATTCAGGAATTGACTCCTGAAAATCAAAAACTGGGAGTATGACTTTTTAACTGGCAGTTTTCTTATGGTAAAGAATTATGGTCCTTTGTCTAAATGAATGAATTAAAAAAAAATGTGGGGACATCTGAGTGGCTCAGTCAGTTAAGCGTCGGACTTTAGCTCAGGTCATGATGTTGTGGTCCGTGGGTTTGAGCCCCATGTCGGGCTCTGTGCTGACCACTCAGAGCCTAGAGCCTGCTTTGGATTCTGTGTCTCCCTCCCTCTCTCTGCCCCTCCCTGACCCATGATCTGTCTCTCAAAAAGAAATAAGTATCAAAAAAAAAAAAAATTAAAAATGTACATTATTTCTCTAGTTATTATTTTTAAGCATTTATTTATTTTATTAGTGTAATTCATATAGCATAAGTTTGCTCCTTTAAATTCTGTAATTCAGTGGTTCTCAGTGTTTTCGCCAAGTTGTAGAGTCATCACCATTTTCTAATTCCCTAAAAGAAACTCTATACCCTTTAACAGTCATTACATGTTTTCCCCTCCTTTTATCCCTTGGAAGCCAGTAATCTACTTTCTGCCTTTACCTATTTGCCTATTTTGGAAGTTTCATATACACAGAATCATAGAGCATGTAGCCTTTTGAGTCTTGCTACATTCACATTAGCATAATGTTCTCAAGGTTCATTCATGATGTAGCATCTATCAGTTCTTCATTCCTTTTTTTCCTTGAACAATACTCCATTGTATAGATATACTACATTTTGTTTATCCATCCATCAGTTAGTGGATACTTGAATTGTTTCCACTTTTTGGCTCTTAAGAATAACGTTGCCATGCACATCTGTGTACAAGTGTTTTATGGTCACACGTTTCCATTTCTTGTGGGTGTATGCCTAGAGTTTGTAATTCTTGTATGTTGTTGCTGCTCTTCTTGTTGAGTGATTTTATTGAACTAATTCCATAAATTTTTTATTCTTTGTCATGGTTGACCCCTGAAATCTCTCCTTGGTTAGCTTAATGGTCAGCTAATTATTAGAGCTTCCGTTGAATGTCTTGATCTAATAAGTCTCCCAGCCTTTGCTGAGAGACTCCGTGTGCATGTCTTCATTGCTCCAACGAGAAGCTCGTTAACCCGGCTTTAGGCTTTACTCTCTGTCAGCATCGAGGCTCCAAGTGAGCCACTAATTAGAAATTAGGGTCTTTCTTGGGCATGCGTACAGCCCTGCATATGTACATGGCCTTCTTTAGTCCCAGGAACGTATTACAGTATTTCAAAGATCCCAGTGGAACCCTTATTCCTGAAGTTTTCATTTTAAGGTTTTTGGTTAGCTTCTTACTTGCTCCAACTCTTATTGCCTCTTTAGGCAGCAGGGATGTGAGACAGTTGCCATTGGTTGTTTTTGACAAGTGTCCTGGGGAGAAGGCTGTTTGCAGTGAGGGAGCTCTGAATCAGGTCGGATCAAGACCAGGCTTGCAAAGTGGAGATTTTCAGGGAACGGCAAGACATGTCAAATAGTGACAGTTCTGTGGGGCTAGGACTTTGGAGAATTCTAAACCTATTCTGCTCTAATTCCAAACCTTTTTCCCCTTAGTGGTTGCTAGGCTGCCAGTTTTCTGGGCTACCATGATTGTGACGCTGTTGGTTTTCAAGGCTACCATGGAAAATGGGGGAAAGGAAGATGGATATAGGGCAGTTTAAAATGTCCCACATCTCATTGTTTTTACTCAGCTGTTTTCCTGAGTAAATACTTCTAAGGTTTTTGCAGGCTTTTGGTTAATTTCCAGAGTACTGGAAAAGTCGACTTGGATAATTTTTGCTAGTAATCTTAATGCCTGTATGGAAGAGTGAATTTTTGGAGTTCATTCAAAAGTGCTCATCTTCCCTATTTGTCATTGATGTTTTAAAAATGTTAGACATATAATTTCTTATGTTCTCTTTCTTTTGAAAAAAATTAACATCTCACATTTTTATTATTAAGCCTTGGGTACTTAGTCTGATACAGGAAACAAACACATTTAATGAATTCATTTCGGTTTTCATACTTAATGTATTCATCATTTATTTATTTTGCATTTACTGAGCATTTGTTTACACTGTATTGGGTAATGGAATATAGCTAAATAAGGCATGATCCCTGTTTCAAGGAGCTCTGAGTTTAGTGGGTAAGATTCAGAAAAAAAAAATCAACACCTATAAGAAAGTGTGAGTGTTAAATACAAAGATCTACTAGAGGCTATAGAAGATTCATCTTTGGATCACCCTCGGGGCCTGGCACACCATCATCAACATCATCATTATTTTTGTCTTTTCAATTCAATTTCTATATCACAAGCAGAATGATCTTTATAGAATGCAAATTAGGTCATGTCACTGTCATCCCTGTCTCTCAATTCTTTCAGTGATTTTCATCAGGCATACGTTCTCGGCCCAAAATCTTTCTTACAGCCTACAGCTGTCAGAAATATCTGGTATGTTTTGACCCTCTAACCTGCAACTCATGTTTTCATGGCAGTGGCCTCAGTCCTCCTGCTCCTTGAACATGGCACAGCTGTTTCTTATCTCGGTCTTTACATATATTGTTTCTTTTCCTGGGAATACCTGTTCGTACCTCTTTGCTTAGCTGATTTCTAATCATTCTGTTATCTGCTTAAATACCACTCAGAGTAGCTTCCCTAATTACACGCATCCCGTTGTGATTTTTACATTCTTATTTTACACTGTGCTTTCCACCTAGAATCTTTATTACAGGATTTTCATGTTTGTGTATTTGTAACTGTATATTTTTGTGAATATTTTATCTGTATTCAGCTAGAATATAATCTCTGTGAGGATGAGAGTCCTTTTGCCATAGGATAACCTTAAAACTTATTTTTATTTATTTATTAAAAAAATTTTAATGTTTATCTTAGAATGAGAACAAGTCGGGGAGGGGCAGAGAGAGAGGGAGACACAGAAACCGAAGCAGGCTCCAGGCTCTGAGCTGTCAGCCCAGAGCCCGACACCGGGCTCAAGCTCACAAGCCGTGAGATTGTGGTCTAAGCTGAAGTCGGACGCCCAACCAACTAAGCCACCCAAGCACCCCTAAAATTTTTTTTAAATGTTTACTTATTTAGAGAGAGAGAGAGAGAGTGTGTTAGCAGGGGAGGGGCAGAGAAAGAGAGAGAGGAGGACAGAGAATCCCCAGTAAGCTCTGTTCGGTTAGCCTGGAGCTCAAACCCACAAACTGTGAGACCGTGACCTAAGCCGAAATCAAGAGTCAGATGCTTGACCAACTGAGCCACCCAGGTGCCCCATCATTGTATACCCTTAGTTAATATTCATAAATGAAACAATCAGTCAATACAAGGCATTCAAGTAAAATATATATTGATCTGAATTTAGCTTAGGGGGTGCCCAGTTCTACCAATAGTAATGCTTGTGCAGTCTCAAAGGAATAGTACATGTTAGTTGGATGAAAAGGGATGGGATATTCTAGGATGGTTACAGTAACATTATGTACAAAGGCCCAGAAGTGTGAGAAAATAAAATTTAGGAGAGTGATTATCAAATTTTTTGGTTTTAGTATTCCTTTACAGTCTTAAAATTGAGAATTCTAAAAAGTTGTGTTTTTAATGCAGGTTATGTCAATATCTGAGAAACTTAAAAAAACATTTAATTGACTTAAAAATAACACTAAAGCTACTACATGTTAATCTAAATAAATATCTTTTCTGAAAAATAACCAAAAAGAAAATGGTAACAAGAGTGGCATTATTTTACATTTTCAGATTCTCTTAAGTGTTGGGCTTAATCAGAAACAGTGGCTAGGTTCTTCTGTCTCTGTCTTCATTCAGTCTGTTGCAATGTGTTGTATGTTAGTTGCAGTCTATGAAGAAAATCTGACATCAAGTAAGTGGTTGGAAGGGAAGCACATTTTTAATAGTCTTTTAGACGGTTGTGATATTCTTCTTGGTATTAAGCCAAAGCTTAACGTGTTAGTTACAATATCAAATGAGAAAAGGTGTCAGCCTACTTTTGTCCTATATTACATTAAAATTAACAGGTTGCTTTTGTGTTCTGTGGATGTTTTATCCTTGTATGATTTTGTAACCTCATGTGTTGGTCATTTTGAAAATACTGGGTTATTGAGTTAGAAAGATTTTCCAAATGGTGACATGTTCATTATACAATATTAGAAATCATTTTCATTGTTACCACTATAAAGTTACCAGCAAAGTCTTTCGTAGGAAGCTGTCAAACCAGTAGAGGCAGATACAAATTGTATAAAATTCTAAAACTTTGCTTTAAAGCTTGAACTTTATCATTGGCAACAAACACTGCCAGTTTCCTTTGAAGTGACAGGCTCTGAGAAAATTTCAGCCAAATACCTAAGCCTGAATAGCCATAGCTATTCAAGGGTGGGGGTTAATTAACTTAGCCAGGGTCACACAGAGAACAGGTCTTCCTGATTCTGTTATATTGTATTGCCCCGTGTATAAATTACTTGGGACTTGCCAAAGCATGTTCTTACAATAGTGTATTGTGGTATTTTTCCTAGAGAGCATGAATGGTTTAAACAAGATTTGCCCAGTTACTTATTTCCTGAAGACCCCTCCTATGATGCTAACGTCATTGATGATGAGGCTGTGAAAGAAGTGTGTGAAAAATTTGAGTGTACAGAATCAGAAGTAATGAACAGTTTATATAGTGGTGACCCTCAAGACCAGCTTGCAGTGGCTTATCATCTTATCATTGACAATCGGAGAATAATGAACCAAGCCAGTGAGTTCTACCTCGCCTCTAGTCCCCCAACTGGTTCTTTTATGGATGATAGTACCATGCATATTCCCCCAGGCCTGAAGCCTCATCCAGAAAGGATGCCACCTCTTATAGCAGACAGCCCTAAAGCAAGATGTCCATTGGATGCGCTGAATACAACTAAGCCCAAATCTTTAGCTGTGAAAAAAGCCAAGTGGCATCTTGGAATCAGAAGTCAAAGCAAACCATATGACATTATGGCCGAAGTCTACCGAGCTATGAAGCAGCTGGATTTTGAATGGAAGGTAGGAGATGGCAGTATATTAAGATCATTTGTAAAAGGTTTGTTTTTTTGGTTTTTGTTTGCTTTTTATGTTTGTGTTTTTGTATAGTAAGCTGTTCTGAACTACTGAGTTCTTAGGGTCAATAGAAATTTTGATTTAGATACAAATTTTGTGGTCATCTTGCTTCTGGATGATAAACCCCATTTTCCTCATTAATGTACCATGTACATTCAAAACTAAAGTTTAAGGATGAAGAGTTGTCGATGCTGGGGACCTCTGATATTTTTGAATTAGCGACTAGCATTCTTGGCCAAGAAAGAGAACATCATCAACCTGAAATCGCCTGAGAAAATTGTCCATCTGTTTTCGCCTGCATCATAGCAATAAAAAGTCATGTGTCTTCAACGATGCTATGTTTAACTTTTTGTTCTCATTTCTTCTTTTTCCCACTAACTATAGCAGCTAGTGGTCAATACAGATGATACCATCAGGATAAATTTCTTCAGTCAACAAATACTTTTCTCTAGGTTGAGAAGATCTCTTTTATTTGTATAGTGCTTTTAATCCTTAGTTATGGTATGTTTTTCTTACTCTCAGCCCCCAGTTTTCCTTTTTTCAAATTAGTGCTCAAATTCATTATAAGTCTATTTGAGTATAGGTGGAAGGAAAGGCATTTTTTCCCCCATCTCAGATATCCTTTTTCACTCTTGTTCCTTTCTTGAAAGCTGTGAATGTATTTTTAAAGGAAGAAGAAAAACATTCAAATACACCATGCATATATTCATTTGACATGTTTGAAAAACCAGTCCTTTTCATTTTATTGGTACATGAAATGAATAAACAAAATAATATTTCATTAAAATCATTTAAAAACATTTCTGAAGCAATTCAGTGAAAAGAGAGACATTAATGTCTTTAAAATTCCATACTGAAAAAAAGTTTGAACTAACTTGACAGATGTTTTGAAAACCCAGGATCATCTTTTTTCTGAGCTGCAGTTGTCTTATCTTCCCAAGGCAAATAATACTTCTTCACAGGATTATTGCAATACTTAAATTCTGTGACAGTACCTATTTATACTGCTGAATGCAAACCATTAACATATTGGTTCTTTTTTATTCCTTCTACTCCATATTAATAGGGAGAAGTATTCAAATTGAGGCTGGGTAACCAGAATTACTGTTGATGTGTTAGAGTGGAGGCATATCTAGAATGAGGGCTAAGACACTCTATAATCCCTGTGTTCCCTTTAGGTTTCAGTTGCTCTGCACACACAGTACTATCAGTAGAGATTAAGTCAATATGAAGCTGTTATGTAATATATATTTTAAAAAAAAGGTCATTCAGGAATTCCTTTTCTACCCCACCTCTATCAGTCGTGGCTATTTGCAATAAGAATAGGAAGATATTTTGTAGTTTGTTATTTTTAACATTTTTCCTTAAAAAAAGATTTCCCATTTTAGGTAGTGAATGCATACCATCTTCGTGTAAGAAGGAAAAATCCAGTGACTGGCAATTATGTGAAAATGAGCTTACAACTTTACCTGGTTGACAACAGAAGCTATCTTTTGGACTTTAAAAGCATTGATGGTAAGGAAGCTATGCAGGCATGAGCTCTGAGAAGATAAAACTTGGCGCTAGTTGACAAGATGTTAAAATCATCTCAAAGACATGGTGGGTAGGTCTTCTGTACTGGTATTTTAGTAATCTAGAGTTAACTAAAAATGTAAGTGAAATGAAAAGGATTGAAGACATGTGGAATATCTCTATTCCAGCACCTCTTCAAAAGAAGTGCCTCCTTAGCATAAAAAAGTCACTTAAAGTGCTGGCTGTGGGAGCAAAGTAAGGAATTACAGGGAAGTAATTTTTACCTAAACTTGGCTGATGTTGTCAGGTTCTTTGTCACATTTCTCCATTCATATGTTATTACCATTAGGGTTGTAATAGCTAAACTTGCCTATTTATCAACTTCCCTCATCCTGGTTGGCCAAATGGGCCTTTGCTTGGAGTCAGCCCATTTGGTCTGCCCCAGATGTCCAGGAGACGAAGGAATTGGGAGGTGGTCTGGGTTGTGTCTAAGTACTTAATGTGACAGAAGTCAAACCTTCACGAACCGAATGGGGTTGTTGAGTTCAGAGGGCCAAGTGGGATAAAAACAGTAAGCCATGGGTTAGGTGCCGAATGGACAAGAGTAGAACTGAGTTCAGAGTTGGGGAGGTTGTTTTCAACAGAATAGTTAAATTTCGTTCTTGAACTACCACCAACGATAGCAGTATTTATTTCGTCCCTGACCACCATCATCAGAATTACCCAGCATTCTTACTACAATGCAAATACTTGGGAACTACCCCCGTATCTACCAAATCAGAATCTCTAGAGGTGAGTCCTGGGAAATTGGAAGTCTTCACTTTTAACAAGATTTTCCTTGCCCCTCCTCCAGGCAATCAATTGCAGTGTGCACTGAATGTGCAGAATGGCAACTTTTTTTTTTTTTTTTTAGTGATACCTTTTGTTGGTATGTTGCAAGAAAATAATCCTCCAAGGATGTGCTTCCTTCCTATTGGTTATCAATTTGATTTCAAGGCTGATGCCAAATACTATACTGAGAAGGATTTAGGGGTGACATTTTGACCGTGTCAGTGTTGTGATTGGTTAGTGATGTCTTGTGACAGTGGGAGGAAAGGGGTATTGCCACCCCTGCTCCCCGAACTCTGAAACATGACATCCATTAAGTTGTGCTTGTTCAGATGTGTTTCCTCAATGTTCTGAATGTAGCATCTTCAGGGGAAGGTCTCAGACAAGTACACCTTTCATGTAATTTGCTCTTCTTTGGTTCATTTCAGATGAGGTGGTGGAGCAGAGGTCTGGTTCGTCAACACCTCAGCGTTCCTGTTCCGCTGCTGGCTTACACAGACCCAGATCAAGTTTTGATTCTGTAACAGCAGAGAGTCATTCACTCTCTGGCTCTCTTACTGGCTCCTTGACAGGAAGCACACTGTCTTCTGTTTCACCTCGCCTAGGCAGTCACACCATGGATTTTTTTGAAATGTGTGCTAGTCTGATCACTACTTTGGCCCGTTGATGATGTTTCTCTAGTTTGTCTTTGTTATTGCACTGTGAAAATCAGATATATTCTTAAAATCATTATTTTACTTATGGGTATCACATCCTCTGGAATACTGATCGAGCGTCATGAATATTTCCAGGGGACACTCAATGCCATTGACATTACTGAAAACAAAAAACGTCTGACATTTTATTTACCTGTAGACATCTGTAATTCTGTTTTGCCTATGATGAATTCATAGGCAGTATCTTTAGTAGGTGAATGTCGGTGAAGATTGTTAATTTGAAATTGTGAGTTCACTACAGATGATTAATGCACCTTCACCGGTGAACCGTCTCATCAAAGGATAGTTTGGCAACACCTCTTTGCTCTACTATTTAATGTAGGTAAATCCAGTTTGCTTCCTAAAAAGTGAAGCAGGCTTTAAGTTGGGTTGATGCATCCCATTCTCTTGCACAAGAAGATTAAAAAAAATAATACGGCCATTAGTAAATTAGTATTTAAATGTTGAAATCTTAAAGGCTTGTCCCCCAAATTTCAGAAGCCAAGTTCTTCTAGTAGCTTTAGCGTTTGCAGATACTGCCTATTGTTTAACAGAAGGGCTGTGGTCCTGAAACAGGTAACTGGTTTTTCCAGGTTCCTTAAAAACAGCTATAATCAGCTACTGGCTGGGAGATATCCTTGAATAATTATCTTAAGAGCCTTCAGTGTTCTACTCAGTGTTGGAACATCCAGAATGGCAGCAACTTTTGTGTTTTTCATAAATGTTATATCATTTTTAGAAAAACCTTAACATCATTTTAAAACATGCCTTCAAAAGTACCTTTCTCAAATTATTTTTGGCTCTATTTATTTTTGTATTTCACTAGGCATGATAAAGTAGACAGTTAAATGAAACAAAGCAAAATATCAACAGTCCCTTAAAAGAGAACTCTTATCTTTGATTGAATGTATGTGGTGGAGAGTTTTGTGTCTGTCCTGTTGTATCCCACAATGCTCATTCTTCATTTGAAGTTCAAATTTGTCATAGCAGCTGTTCCCCTCCCTAACCTTCCCACCACCATTGTCTTCGTTGTTTGATCCTTAGTGGCTGATTGACTTAGCTTTTTTCTGGTTCCCTTTCTGTGTTCTCTATCTTGTTTCTAGCCATCCAGTTTGAAAACACTGTTCTGGCCCTAAGGGCTTTTGTGTACTTCCAAAGCTTAATAGTCTCTGACCTTGACTGTTGAGGCTGTTTGGGTAGGGAGGCCTTAAACATTTAAAAAACAAAAATGAAAACAAAAAAACTCTCGAATAAATGTGTGTTGTTTACATATATACAAATATGTATTCACACACCAGTGCTTTTAAAGGAAAACCAAACAGTTTCTTTGTTTTGCCTTGTGCAGGTTTTATTTTTTAAAGTTTGAAAAGAAACCTATCTATATACAGCACAGTAGATAATAATAGCTCATTGCTTATATTGTTTTAGTGAAAGTATTTAATTTTTAAATTATGTGTAATTTATCTAATTTGTATTTATCTATTCATTTGTTTAATGTGTTGTAATTAACACTCTCATTCACCTGACTTACCCCAGAACAGATTAAGCTCTTGAAAACCAAGTTTCTCTTTGCCAAAAATGATGTTTTCTACCAAGAAGCAAATGAAAATGTTAGGATAAGTTCCTCTTGTGTTTATGGAAGATCAGCATGTCTGTCTTTAAGTAGTTTTGAGTCAGGAGTTTGCAGTGTGTCACATCATATTGGTTTATAGGACTTTTTAAAAATGGTGTTAAGAACTTTTAAATCTGACTTAATATTGAAAGGAATCTGTTCACCAGTGTAGGAAAGAGGGGTGGGTTTACATTAAACTGTTTTAAGTTTAAGCCTTTGAAAGACTGCCATCTAGTGGCGTCAAAGGGTACTTTCTGTAGTTGTTTTTACAGGGAAAGCAGTCTGGCTGTGTATTTTGCTTAGGGCATAATTTTGGCCTCTCTAAATGTGTAAATATCTCTTTTGGGAAAAACAGGACCGCCTCATAATATTTGCTTGACTATGAATGGGTGACCTTAGAAATAAGGAGTTAATCTGAGGAGTCCTATCCCCAGGGACAAAATCTCTAATAATTTTGAAGGTGGAAAAGCAGCAGCAAGGACTACAGTGGCATTTTAGCTCTGTAAGTCAGATATTAAAAACTTACATCAAAATTATTTTATATGGATGTTTATCATGTTTATTGAGAATTTAAAATATTTACTATTTTCACACTCTGATGGTTACCTGTTGAATTTTAGGAGAACCAGGGTTGCAGTTTGGGTTGTTGTATGCTTAAATTTTAAAGTACAGCTACTCTGTGAATCTAGAAGGTGTAGTAAATTGCTTTGTATAGAGAAGATTGCAGGGGGCTCAGTCCAGCTTCTATAAAAGGGGCTAGAACATTGTCCTAGGAAGCTTTTGTTGCTAATTAGAAGAGGGAAAGAATCAGTTGCTAAATTCCCACATTTCAGTCTTGTAAGCTGGTTAACTGTAGCTGTGGTATGTGGTAGTTAGATCTGGGATAGGAGGAATTTCCAGTTAAGATTCTGGAGGAGAGGGACGCCTGGGTGGCTCAGTCAGTTAAGCATCTGACTTCAGCGCAGGTCATGATCTCACAGTTCATGGGTTCAAGCCCTCGTCAGGCTCTATGCTGACAGCTCAGAGCCTGGAGCCTGCTTTGGATTCTGTGTCTCCCTCTCTCTCTGCCCCTCCCCCAAGTGCTCGCTCTCTCTCTCTCTCTCAAAAATAAACATTAAAAAAAAAAAAAGATTCTGGAGGAGAGCTTCCTATTATTAGGTCACAAAGACTTAGTCACATCATGGAAATGGACTCCATAAGTTCTACAATAGCACTCCCAAACTGATTCCCTTGAGGTGGTCTGCTGAAAAACGAGTCCGTTGAGCAAATTTGGAAAATGTTACATGTTCCTCTCCTGCTTGAGGATGACAAGAGATTATGAACATTAAAGACTCTGAAACGTCCTTCAGTGAAAAAAAGGAAAACCATTTAACTTTAACCCTGCTTTGCCCAAATTAACTATATTTTAAACTTAATATCCTTTGGGAAAAGGCAACTTGGGAAAATACTTTGTCCCAGGTTGCTATAATTAGAGTAGTTAAGAATAGAATTAAGATCTCTTTTCTCATCAGTTGTTGGAGAGAATATGGTTCAAAATCAGAAAAATTTCATTTTAACCTGTGGATAAATGCTGGACTAAACAGAATTGTGTGTGTGTGTGTGTGTGGGATGTGTTTCATAGCACCTTGATCTTCTTAAATCAGGTTGTGGTAACTGTTTGGGAACAGAATTTATTCTGTGTTGTGTTGAGCTGATAGCTAAAAAACCTTAAACAAGATTACTTGTAAAAGAAAAGGCCTAAGAGACTAGTGACTAAAGGCCTAAGAGACTAGAGCTTATGGCTCTGTGGGCGGTGAGTTCAAGACATTGATTCTCAATTTCCAAATGTGTAGTCAGTGAACATTTTGTAAATACTTTTATATAGGACATCATATTTGGATCTGATTGCTGTTATCTTTTAAGGTAGGAACTATATAACATCTTGGATTGAATAGGGAGGTAGGCAAACTATTTGAAGTTGGGTTTTTGTTTTGAACAACAGACTTTTGAGACACTTTTGTAACCTCAAGTGTTTGCGTTCCTTGATATTAGCCAAATATAAGAAGAATATAGGAGCCTAAATTAATCAGAAGTAATGGTATTTCTGTGTCAGGGAATTGGCTGTATGTAGTACAGACAATTCTCCATTTTCTGCAAATAGGGTTCCCGTAATAGTCACATAATTGTGGGCTTGCTTTTTCTTCTCTAGCCAGTTTGTACTCAGGGAACATAAACTGGTTTTTTATAGTAGATGAGACATAATTGAGAAAATAATCATAAAAAAAAGTTACAGGTTTTTTGACTGTTTGAATTTGTTGCTTCTAATGTGCAGTATGCTCAGTTAATGTAAGCACTGTATCTTCCATTTATAAAGTAGAAAAGCTTAGAATGTGCCTACCATGGACACTGTATCTTTGTCTATTCACTGGTTAAGAATTTAAATCCTGGTAATGGCTGTGAAATCTCAATATCTAAATGCTAAACATCTTCACAGTTTTGTCCTTTTTCGTGTTTAAAGACCTCCACCTTTTCATTCTGGCATTTCTTTACCTGGTCATCCTGTCACTCTGTGGCTTTTTAAATGGGGAATGTAATTTATTTTAATAATTCTCAGAGGCTCTATTAGAAACTCTGGATGAGGGATATGTGCAATGTTAGTAAGTCACACCTATGTTGACCTCAGTTTGTAACCTCTAAAGTGGGAGGAAAAGACTAAAAGGCCTCTGAGGTACCTTTGAGCTTTAAAGTTCTGTCTTTGCCCTTTTTTTATGTGATTTGTGTTAGTGTTCCCTTTGTATATATTTAGGGGTTTTATAGTGTGAATGTTCTGTATTTGTTCCGTGAATCATTTTAAAGGTAAATACTTGAAAAAAAAAATTAATATAATTGCCCTCTGGAATACAAATGGCAAAAATCATACAGAAAACCAAACATCATATACACTTAGCATAAGCAAAATATGACTAATTTGAAGTGTTGGAAGTGTTCCAAACATTCTTATAGTGACTTTTAGATCCCCAGACCATATCTATTAACTTATTTAGTACATTACAGTAACCTTGCGAGGTAACCATTTTCCAGATGAGGAAGCAGGACCACAGAGCCCTTCAGAAAGCTTTAATGCCATACATGTATTCAGCGATGATCATGGCTCTGTGTATGCCACCTGCCTCCAGGGGAGACCCGGTGACTCACTGAAACATCTGAGTAGCTGAGTAATAAAGATAAATCAGATAGATTGCTTTTGAGTCTTAGAGTGACATAAAATAGTCTTAATTGAATATTTCTTAGTTTAATTATTTGAACTGGTTGATTGTACTAACTAAATTATCTGAAGTATTTATGATTAGCATATTGATATTTAAAAGTACTTCTGAGTTA